ATTAACAGTGCCGTCCCTTCATTTTTTTTTTACTTCCCACGTAAAATAACACAGCTGCTCCGCTAAACACTGTTCATCATCGTCAACCTCCGTCCCATCTTCCGTTTGTAACCCACAAGAACCCATCCCCATCTCCTTTCACAAAATCGCCCCAGCTCCGCTCCCTCTCTACAGCCACGCACCACCAATCACCACCATCCCTTTCCCCCTGTTTTCGTCAGCCGACCAGCGCCACCCCTCTCTACAGTCACCGACCCCTGCCCTTCAATCACCCCCGAACGACAACCAAAACAAACCCCTCCCTCTCCTGTCCCTGTTCCGAACAGCCACCAAACATCCCTCCGTTTCCTCCACTTCCGAGAAGTCCCAACACCGCTGCGTCGTCATCCGATCGACGCCATCATCCTGTCGCTGCCGTTGAGTCTGATCTGATTCCTTGGATTAGGAGCTTTGCAGCGCAATCTTAGGTTCTATGGTTTTAATCGAGAATCTTTTGGAGTGGCCAGCACTAGTACGAGGATTTTCAGGATTCTTAAGCGTCCTGCGTGAGATGTGGTTGTTTGATCAGACCCGATTCCAATTCAGTTGGATCTGATGTTCAGTCTGGTGATGGTATAATTTCGCTTTCTTATTATTTTCTGTTAATCTCATAATTATGAGTTAGTTGCTTGCGTAATACATCTCTAAATTCTTATCATATATTCACTACGGGGGGGTACGTAAATTAATATTGTGAGTTGAGAGAACTAAATATGTGACTGTTGAAAAATTGATATTGATCTTAGAACTCGCGACAATGATGATTAATATTGCGATTAAAATATTTGAGATTGGAACTGTTCATGAGTATTGTTGCAAAATCTTATTAAAATCTATCTATCACATTAACCGTTTTAATTAATTTCCTACCGAAGATCATGAATTTTGGCGAAACGGTGCGTTGTTTAAATTAAATCTCTGATTCAGATAGACACCCCTCCCCGTTTCGCATCAGAATGACAACAAAATGACAACTTTATGACTACTTTACTTCAAACATATTTAGTTGACCTTGTAAATGCAGGGATTTGCTTACTATGTGCTTATGTGAGAGGAGTATTCTTGTCCAGGTTTGGTACAGAGTTGGAAAGTTTTATAAATCGCATAACATTGCTTTTTAATTCATGCTGCACCAATTTGTTCCTTATTTAATTATCCTAATATAGCGATTGGTTACCTTGTGTTGCGATCGGATACGGGACACGGATACGACACGGACACGGATACGGGATACGGCAAAATCCAAAAAAATAGGATACGGAGATACGGCGAGGATTTTTTTTAATTATTATTATATATAGAAAATTTTATAACATACTCATTCCATCAAATCACAAAATAACAAGTTTGTAAACAAAAAGGAATTTGAGTTCATACTCATTCCATCAAATCACAACATAACAAGTTTCACAACATAACAAGTTTGTAAACAAAAAATACATCAAGATTAAGTGGAAGCTAGTTTGATGATTTCTTCTTACAGATTTAATAAGTTGTTGCTCACTGACTTTGTTTTTCTTTTTACAGATTATACTTAGAGTTAAGCAACAATGAGCAAGGATGAAGGATCACTCAAAATTTTCCAACACAATTGCCAAAATATGCATATTCATTTGTGTAATAATTCATTTGTGTAATAATTCTTTTTACAGATTATACTTAGAATTAAGCAACAATGAGCAAGGATGAAGGATCACTCAAATTAGACAACACAATTGCCAAAATAAATATCCATAATTCATTCATTAAATATGTATATTCATTTGTGTAATAATTCATTTGTCTAATAATTCATTGCCTAACAAAAAATTCATTTGTGTAATAATTTATTGACTAACAAAATTATACTAATTAATAAGTTCTCCTTTTAATAGATAATACTAACAATTAAAAAAATATTCATATGTTAGGAAATTGAGACTGAAATTGAAACTAAAATTGAAAAAATAAATTACCAAATAAAGAATAGGATTGTAGTAGAACTGTGACTTGCTCAGTTGTCAAAATAAGTATCACAAAGCTGCATAAAAAAGTTAGTTTTTTTCAAAAAAAAAAGATAAGAGAGACTGAGAGGGACGGAGAGATTGAGAGAGAGAATAAGGAAGAGGAGCGACTCGGGAGAGATCAACAGAAAAGAGAGAGACTTTTTTTGAGGACTAAGAGAGACCAACAGAAAAGAGAGAGACTGAGAGAGAGCGACTCGGGAGAGATCAAGGAAGAGAAGACTGATCTGGTCGAGCGCCGGCGTCGAGGTCGAGGTCGAGCGTGGGGCGTCAGAGTCGAGGTCGAGCACCGAGGTCGAGGTCGACGACGTCGAGCGTCGAAGTCGAGCGACGAGGTCGAGGTCGAGGTCGAGTTTGAGCGTCGATCTCGAGGTCGCGTGACAAGGTCGAAGTCGAGGTCGAGAGCCGAGAGGGGGTGTCGAGCGTCGAGATCGAGCAAACAGGACGAGGGAGCGCGGCGTCGGCGTCAGGTAAGTGAAGCTTAGGGTTTTATTTTGGGCGATTGGGTTTGGGTTTCGGGTTTACGTGTTTCGGGACCCGTTTTTTTCTTTTTCTTTCGTTCCGCTGTGTTCCGCCGTGTCCGAGCCGTGTCCAAAACCCAAGTTTGACCGTATCCGTTGCTGTTGACCCGTTGACCCGTGTCGGACACGGATTGACCGTGTCCGACACGTGTCTTGCACGTGTCGTGCACGAATCCGTGTCTGATTCGTGTCAGACACGGATTCGTGGTCTCCGGGGGAGTATCCGTGCTTCATAGGTAACAAGCAGTAGTAAATGTTACTTTTAGCTATTACATAGAAAGCAGGTGTAAATTTATATCGGAAAATTCAAATCTGCTTGATATTCATATCTAATTAGGTGAATATGGATGCAAATACCAAGGGAGTTGTTCCAGGTATGCCTGGTTCTATTATTCACTTTTGTAAATTATTCATTCACATATGTGGATGCATCATAGTTTTTTATTTTTATTTTTTTGCCAAAAATAAGTGGAATCTATGTTACCCGGGTACTTCAATTTGAAGCCGTACTCGTACCCGACATGTACTCGTACCCATACCCAAACTCCTTGGACACTCCTTGTATATATACATACATCTATTCAGGCATGTACCCACTTGTACATTACATGTTTTAAATTAAAAAACTTGGACATATATGATATATCCTACACATTGCATCCCCTTCTTCAAACTTGTTGGACATAGGTCAGGTTCCGAATTATGATGTTGCAGGGTTGTTTGAATGTCTAGTCCAAAAACTAGTGTTTTTCCAATTCATAATCCACTTAATAAAAGAAACATAAAAATATTATAGGAAATTTAATTCTCATCATTGTTCTCATTTAAATTATTAATTCCAATGTATAATATATGTATATATAAATATTTATTTAGTTATGTCCCCTTACCCTACCTTTTACAAATGTGCCGTGTCCCGTACCCGTACCCATAGCCATATCCATGCAGATTGACGTTATAGAATAAGAAAATGTCCCAACAGAACAAGTAACTGTTTCCAATGTAGATTTTTGGACATTCAACTGGTCCAGTGAATTCCCGTATTATCTGTATTTTGGTAGTATCCTCCTGGTTCAGATACACATTACTTACCATATAAATATGAAGTTCATCTGAAAGTAAATTGAATTCAGATTTACAGATGATGGTATCCATAAAAAAAAGATGTGATGGTATGCACCTCGTGCTTTCCTAACTGAAACATTGGTTTTAGCTGATTGGTGTCCCCATTTCACCCCTCTTCTTCTTACAAGTGCGGGTTTAAAAGCAATCGATCAGGACAATGAAGCTATCTGGCAGTTCTGTGATTGTCGAGCATAACAATGTGATTTTTTTCCCGACTATTCTGAATAGAGAATCCTAGTCAGGGCATGCCAAAACGAACACATTTTTAGGAATGCATATTGCTGCAAACTAACAAGAATGACACGTCTGTGATAAAAAATGTAAACCAGGAATTGTGTGAGATAACCATAGCTCTCCCCGTGTAGAGTGAGTGGCTGGATTTTCCCTCTCACATATGGTTGAAGGGCAGGCAGTGAGAGGCCTCCTATGCTCTGGTGAGATGCTCAATTGCATCCTCCTCGTTTTGAGAGGTCTTTTTCTGTGGACTCTCCAATCTGCAGCTGACTTGCAGATGTCATGGACATGAATTTGTGTTCATTAATTCCTTGATAGAAGGAATCGAGAAGGGTACTATGTTAAGACTTGAGTGAGTTGAGTGCTCCAGAGATGTAGGCTGTCTTTGAAAATATTTCTGTAATATCCGACTTATTATAGCCTTCTGCAATATAGTAAATTGTGCTGTCAAACCTTGTTTGCATAATCACGAGGTTTTTGTCCATTTAGCTGCTGATTTAATCACCACTCACTTCCTTGGTTATAAGTTATACAGAGAGTAGTCTCAGTCTTCAGTTAAGCCTCGTCTCTTATTACTGGAATGCTGTCCTGTATTTGGAATTGTTGATTTCTGTTATCATTTACCTATGTAAATTGTGCTATGCCACTTTTGCCTGTTGTTAAATTGTTAGAGACTGTAACATTGATTGTCTTAGCTTAGCTAATTGTTAAGATGTGTTTCCTTAGCGGTGACTGTGATATTCTTTCAATTCTAAAGCAGCAATGCCTATATATGTATCTGAAAGAGGAATGAATGCTGGATTTGCAGCGTTTGAGGTTTTAGTAAAATATAATATGCTTTCCTTTTTAACTAAAATTGCACGTTTTGAGGTCATTTGTTATTAATTGGGCTAATGGGGTCCTTTTTTATTTTTATTCTTATTGTTATCTTGTTTATGGTGAATTTTGATTCTAATATTTAAGTTATTTTCAAGGTATTTATGAGGATTGACAGATCACAGTACTTACGTGAGTACTGTTCTAATAATTTATTTTTGCTACCACTGCAACTAATGTGACGCTTTTAATTTTTTTGTAGGTGTATGAAGTAATCTCCAAGTGACTCTTAGTTTCACGATTACTAGCATGAATGTGCAGCAAGACAACAGGTTGCAATTTTGACGTATTTTGGCAACAATCATTTCAAGTGTTTCAAAAAGTTTTGCAGGGGGGGTCCTCTGTTGGCTTCCTGAGATAATCTAACGATGACTTCAGGTCCATAAGTCTTATTTCTTATGGATTAACTTTCATTAAAGTGGTTGACTCTGCTGCAAAGTAATTTTCATGGTTTCATTGAGTTCTTGAGGAGGAATACCAATTATGCGTCCCGTCTGGTTGAAAGAATCTGAATGTGTACTGTGACCTGTTTTACATGTTCTTGACGTTGACTGTAATCGGTTGCCTTATATTATAAATCTATGGATTATCCTCCAAGTAAGAAAAAATCTCACAATGATCGACTTCTGTTGTGTGAATACAGCTTCTACATGGTACTTACTAGCAAATCTACTGCTGTGAAGCGAAACCTAGAGCTTTTTCTTTATCTAAGCTGTTTTCTGCTGTCAATTGAGTGGTTGAGTTGTGTTTTGCGCTATCAATTCTTTAACATATTTCATAGGTATTCCCTTTGTATGTTTCGTAGGTGTTCCCTTTGCTTTGCTTTGCAACTTTGAATTATATATGTACACATCTTGGTGTCCAACTTCCATATGTTGATACATTGTTGAGAGGGCATCATAATCGGATAGAAATTAATTCTCCATGAGTTTGCAGTTTTCCTTTGCAGTGTTCTACTTGAACGTGAAAATTTGATTTGTTGCAGCTTTAAGTTAGACTGCTATATGAGATTTTAAAGTGAGCAATGTGGCAGAGATGCACGTTTTTCTCAAATGGAACAAACGATATTTTATAATATCCAACATGTTACATCCCTACTTTGTTGTGATAGTATTTCTCATATCTGGAAATTTGTATTGGCAGCCAAATTAAATTGTATTGCACTATTTGTGCTGCTTGTTGCTTCTTACTGTTTAATCCATGTTTCTGAAAATCTCGTCAGCAAGAAACTTATAACGCCTAGTTTGGTATGCGGGAATGAGTGAGCATGGAATGCAATTCTAGTTTATCATTCATGTTTACTAGACATGATGTGTTTTTGAATCCTAGAAATATTATTCTCACTTCTCCTCAATTCCCACTTAACGTGGGAATTGCTATTCCCAATATCAACGAGTTGATATTTTCACTTAAGTGAGAATGAAATTAATAAAATAATTTCTGAATATATTCATCTTAAAGATATTCACATTTAATTATTTAATCGCACCCAAACATGAGAATGGAAATGAGCATTCCATTTCCACATTAATTTCATTCCATTCATATCTTCATTTTATTCTTATTTGACTTCATTCCATCGTACGAAATTAGGCTTAAGATTCCTTACTGTATATGGTATACATTCTTCCACAGGTTTCAAGTTTTACATTTTCTTCATAAATGTGCACATTTATATAAAACACATGAGAATACACATTAGTGGAGTTCTGATGATTTTGTTGGCTGCTAGTTTGTTATGCTAGGATATTTATTTTTTCCTGGTTACCTAGTGCCGGTGAGCCTTTTGTACTGAAGTCTCATCCTAGATTGCTTGAATTTTGGTGTTCACTGTGCTACGGAAATTTTTGGTTGAACCTGTTTAATCCTATTTATGATTTGTTATTATTTATTAATAACTAGTATTGTAGTCCCTGCTAAGCACGATCTTACTTTCATGATTCTCTATCTACTTATAAACAATCTCAAAGACTCATTTACCTATTCTAATACCTATCTTATTAGTATCAACGTCATGTTCTGCTGTCAAAACAGAGATATAAAATATAAAAAACAAATTCAAGAGTTAGAAAATTCAGGCCTGATCGGGAGCAGTCGTGATAACACTGCCCTAGAAGATTAAGGACCCGCCTATCGCCCTGGCGCAATTTGTCCTCTCTCCCCTAGCGGTAAAAACACCCGGAATCGGCCGGCCTCTGCACTCGGGCGTGAGTCACAGAGCTTATGCTCAGACGAAAACGGTTGCCCAGAAAAATAGATATATAAATATGTAGCCGAAATCTCTTGGAGGTATGAGAGTAGAGAAGAGAAGAGAGTTTAGAAGATTTACTCTTCGTTGGTGTGTTCCTGAATGAGCTCCAAGCCTCCTTTTATAGGTGATGAAAGGTGTAACCCCCGCTGAATCCAAGGGACCGTTATGCACGGTTATTGCTTCCGTTACCCGCATGCAGCCGTTACAAAATGTGTAAAACGTGCAAAAATGAAGGCTTGAGAAGAAAAAAGGTGTGCGGCTGCGGCGTGGCGTGGCGTGCGTGCGCGCGCGCGCGTGTGGTAGAAACGCAAAGCCCACAAAACCCAAAACACTATTCAAAGCCCAATAAGGAGAGAACCATTATATACCATTTACTATTCATCTCATTTTCCGATGTGAGACTATTCACAAAGGCAAAATTGCCTTTTCATGAACAAAGCTTCCAACAGTCCCCCCCCCCCAAAAGGCAATATTGACTGAAAATAATAAATCAATAAATAAATCACAAAATAAATATAGGTTGGGCAACCTTTCGTATCGTGAATTCGGGAAAGGTAGCTTTCGGCTTTGAACCTTTCCTTAGTGAGTTTATCCTCAAAGGGTACTACAGCTGTTTATTTAATACCCCCCACAATACACGCGTTGGACTTATTAAGAGTAAAACTCAGCCTAGCCAGCTGTATCATAAGAGCATCGTCACCATAGAGAAGGGGTAGTAGCAAATGCTACATAATGATATATAAATATATCTAGGTCGATGCTCCACACGAGAGTCACTTGTCCAGCTTGTTTCTACCACATTGAACCGACATTGGGACTACGTCTCCAAATAAGGGTTGGGTTGCCGCTGTCAGTGACCTCATTTATGGGCTTAACCCCATCTCCCTCGATGAATCCAGAACCACACTCCTGGATAATCCCTTAGTCAAAGGGTCAGCAAGATTTTTCTCAGACTTTACAAAGTCCAAGATCACAACTTTGCCTAATAGGCGTTGTACAGACTTATATCTTATTTGAATATGTCTGTTATGTTTTTTATTTACATGTACTTGCTTTAGAAGCTCTATGGTAGATCTAGAATCAGAGTGAATGGAAATAGGAGGAGAGGGTTTAGGGACCAAAGGAAGTTCAGATAGAAGATCTTTTAACCATTCGGCTTCTGTGCAAGTAGTATCAAGAGCAATTAGCTCAGATTCCATGGTGCTCCTGGCAATTATTGTTTGCTTACATGATTTCCAGGATACAGCAGCACCACCAAAAAGAAATACATATCCAGATGTAGACTTTACACTGTTGGAATCCGTGACCCAATTGGCGTCACTATACCCTTCTATAGCATCAGGGTAACCAGTGTAAGTCAAGCAATAGTCAATTGTGCCTTTTAGATATTTGAATACTCTTTCTAAGGCAGACCAATGATCTTTGCTAGGGTTGCTAGTATACCGACTCAGTCTCCCTACAGCATAAGCTATATCAGGTCTGGTTCGGTTGGATATGTAAAGAAGAGATCCAATCATCTGAGAATATTTCAGCTGGGAGACAGGTTCACCTTCATTCTTCTTCAAGGGTATAGAAGAATCATAAGGTGTGGAAACAGGTTTAGAGTTATGAAAGTTGAATTTGATTAGCATTTTATCAATGCTATGGGAAAGACTCAAAGATATTCCTCTAGTGTCTCTAGAGATTTTCATTCCAAGTATCATGTCTGCAAGACCTAAGTCTTTCATATCAAAGTTTTTGGAAAGATAATCCTTAACCTTTGAAATTAATTCAAGTGTTGTTCCAAAGATAAGGATATCATCAACATAGAGACAGAGAATGACATAGTCATTGTTTATCACTTTAGAATAGACACATTTATCGTATTCATTCACAGTGAAGCCATATTTTGCAATGATGTTGTCAAATTTCTGATGCCATTGTTTAGGAGCTTGTTTAAGACCATAAAAAGATTTAACAAGCTTACAGACTTTGTTTTCCTGACCCTTGGCAATGAGGCCTTCAGGTTGGTGCATATAGATTTTTTCATCTAAATCACCATTCAGGAAAGCAGTCTTGACATCCATCTGATGTATGATAAGCTTATGGATAGCAGCAAAGGCTAGTAATACTCGGATAGTTGATATTCGGGCTACAGGAGAATATGTATCAAAATAATCAATGCCCTTTTGTTGAGTAAAGCCTTTAGCTACTAATCTAGCTTTAAATTTATCTATGGAACCATCAGCTCTGAGTTTCTTCTTGAATATCCACTTACAACCAATAGGTTTACAACCTGGAGGTAAGTCGGTGAGTATCCAAGTATGGTTTTCCATGATAGATTTAATTTCATTATCAATGGCTTCTTTCCAGAAAGGAGATTCAGGTGAATCCATTGCTTCTTGGAATGAGCTTGGATCACCTTCAACAAGAAAGGTAAGGAAGTCTTCTCCAAAATCCTTTTCGATTCTACCTCTTTTGCTTCTTCGAGGTTCAATATCAAGAGGTTGAGAAGAACTGGAAGATGGAAGATCAGAAGGAATGGATGATCTGGGATTTTCTGAGATTTTAGATTTGAAAGGAAAGATGTTTTCAAAATAGACTGCATCTCTTGCTTTAATGATGGTATTGTTGGATATGTCACTAATTTTAGATTTGATGACTAGAAATCTGTTAACATTACTATCTAGTGCATATCCAATAAAAGCAGCATCTACAGTCTTAGAACCAATTTTTCTCTTCTTAGGTTCGGGAATAGCTACTTTAGCCAAGCAACCCCAAACCCGGAAGAAATTCAGATTAGGAGATCTCCCCTTCCAATATTCATAAGGAGTTGTATCGGAATTTTTCTGGGGAATCCTATTGAGAATGAAGCAAGCAGAAAGAAGAGCTTCACCCCAGAGATTTTCAGGTGCTCCTGAACTGAGTAACATACAGTTCACCATGTCCATTAGGGTTCTATTCTTTCGTTCAGCTACCCCGTTAGACTGTGGTGTATAGGGAGCAGTAACCTCATAAATAATACCGTGTTCTTGGCAATATTCAGTCATATTATTTGAGGTATACTCCCCCCACGATCAGATCTTAGAATCTTGATCTTCCTGTCAAGTTGATTCTCAGATTCAGCTTTATACACCTTAAACCTATCTAAGACTTCATCTTTAGTTTTGAGAAGATAGGTGTAACAATATCTGGAGTGATCGTCTATAAAATTCACAAAATATCTCCTACCTCCTCGGGTGAGAACTCGGTTAGAGTCACACACATCACTATGAATTAATTTGAGGGGTTCAGAGTTTCTAGTTATAGACTTAAAGGGTTTTTTAGTGTGTTTCCCTTGAACACAGATTTCACATTTAGATGA